ACCAAAGAGAGCACAGGGATTCTGACACTGTTTGGGGAGTCAAATCCAATCCACAAAGAAATAGATGCACAGAGCTCCTATACCAGAACAGAGTACTTACATACACTATAGTTTGTTTCATTTGTTTCATTTGTAGCTTTATATGTTCTCTTATGACAGTCAGTCTCATAATATTTCATTTGCTATATCTAACTGTTACATCTTTCTACAGTTACATCTCAGGCCTTAGAATAGCCTCAGTTGGGTATCTACACTATTTTTTTAAAATGAAAGGCAGCACCATAAATTGGCCCCAAATACTTTTAAGTTGGTCTGATGCTAAGCAATACTCTGTCATGTTGTAAAACACTCTTTGGTTTTCAAACATTTCATTTTGATATAAAAGGTATCATTTTCCCACAATGTGAGCTAAAAAACCAAGACCATGTTATTTTACTGACACTGCAGTTAATAAAAGCAGTAATAATGTGAACAACAGCAAAAAATGCACATTTGTGATAAAACTGCAGTAATCAATGTAAAAGCATTTCAGTTACCACAGTAATTTGTGACGGCCATTCAGACACTCCACCTTGGTGTAATTTTCTTTATCGCAAAAAATACTTTACTAAAAGTGACAATTTAAATTTTAACACAAAGTGCTGAAAACACAGGACATGATCTTATAGTCTTTGCTGACTACTTGTGTATACTTTTGAAAAAGCAAAACTATTCCCAGAATGAAACAAAAAGACAAAGTGCTACTGATTCAACTTCTTTATCAAAGTATTAGGAACAGTCTTTATTTAAAAAAACAATAACAAGCATCGTCAAAACAGGAATATGAGAAATTCTTCCATATCAAATCAGGCATGATAGTCACAAAGCAGAAAATGGTGGATATTTTATTGGGAGAATTTCCAGGGCCATAATTTTCAGTCCCCCCCCCCATCACCTCTAGGGACCAAATACTGTTAAATCACAGCACTGCACTTCGGCAGGACATAATCCCACTGCATGGAGGCTACCAACTCTCCATGACATATGAGCCTGCCCCTCTTACATCGCTCAGTTCCACTCTACCCAGCATGATTTGTTATGTTCACTCCCCCCCTGTTCTCAGAGGACAGCAGGCAATGCCTGAAGGAAATGAAAGCATTTTAATGTGCTTGTAGGCAGAGTTACATGAGCTGCTTAGACACGTCACACCTAGTAGTGAATGCCTTCCCTTGTCAGCATGCACCTGTAGGAGCAGCCAACAACTATGCTATGATTCTGGGGAACTACTATTTCAGAAAATTGGTATGGAGAAATCTGATAACTCATGACAGGAAGAAGAATCTAGTTCCAACGCCTGCACAACTGAAGACTCATCCTGGACTTCAGTTCACAGAGCCATGCCCAAGTGAAGGTCCGATGAGGCTTCAGGAAATCTATTTCCGGTCCAATTAACTACTGTAGGCAGAGGTGAGAGAGTGTGTAATCAAAAGCTGCTAGGAGAAAAGGAGGGGGAAAAGGCAATTTAACATGTGGAAATGCAGCTGCCAGAAAAGGATTTATCCCCCAAACAGCCTTAGCAAGCCTTCCCATAGCCTCGGAGTCTGCCAGTGGAAACCTCATCTGTTCGCTGCTGACTGCGTCTGCTTATACAAGCTAGTCAGGACTGCCTTTCAATTCAGCCATGTTGAATCCTGAAAAGATTGTTCAGTTGGAGTTTGACAGCTGTACCAGACCAGTGGGACAGGTAACAAAGACAGGGACACTGAAAATGAAGGAAAAGTACAGAAAATGGCAGTCCAGATGATTGAGTGGTTGAAGCACCTTTCCTATGAGGAAAGGGCTAAAGGGTCTGGGACTTTTCATTTAGAAAAGAGATTACTAAGGGAGGATAGGATAGAGGTTTAAACAGTTATTCACGGGGTAGCAAGAGTGGACAGAGAGATCTTTTTCTCTCTCCCTCAAAATGCTAGAACTTGAGAGCATCCAATAAGTTGATGGGCAGTAGATTCAAGATGGACAAAAGGAAATTCTTCGTCACTTAACAAGTGATTGAAAGGTGGAATTTGCTGCCAGAGGATGTAGTGGTGGCCACAGGCATAGACGGCTTTAAAAGGGGATTAGACAGATTCCTGCAAGATAGGTCTATCAGTGGCAACTAGCCATGGTGACTAAAGGGTACCTTCACATTTAACAGCAGTAAACCTCTGAATACCAGTGCCTGGGGCAACATCAGGGGAAGGCTTCGGCCTTTATGCCCTGTTGTTGGCCCTAAAGAGTCATTGGTTGGCCACTGTGTGAGACAGGGTGAGGGACTAGATAGACTATTGGTCTGATCCAGCAAGGCTTCTTAACAATTATCTATAAGGAGAAAACAGCAAAAGACTGATCTCCATATTTAACTGCATATTCAACTGCATATTTATCTGCACTACTTCCTCAAGGTCCCTGCTTTCTGGCAGACCCATATCCATCTGACCCAAAACCTGCATGATTAAGAACTGTGCTGGAAAGAATTGACATGAGTTGATTTTATAGGGTGAGGAGTGTAGTTCTGAAGGCAATGTTGGACCATAGAGTACCCAACAAAACCTCTGCATATTTACTGCAGACATTACAGCCCACCTCAAAATAGACAGTACAGGCCATGGCAGGAAGCCTAGTTATACTCATTCAGAACCTTAAACACTCATTCTGATTACCTGCCCCTACCAGCAGCAAATAGTAATATGGAGAAGGGGTGGGGAAGTACAGATTGTGATAATGCTATAGGGAGAGTTGTAAACAGATTTATTTAGGTGTAATACCATGTTAAATGTTTCTGACTGAATAAGCTGCTTGGGGGGAACTAATTGATACAACCAACGTTGTCCTTTCCCAGATGGAGAATGCACTGAGCAGACAGTGATCCCAACTTTTAAATGACCCCCCCCCGTTATTCCATCCCTCCCCAGCCCCTGATTACACAGCACTGCAAAGTCTTGAAATGCCTTTTCCCTTGTCCACTGTTTTGATTAACAAACAGAATTTCTGAATACAATTTCTGATTTCTAAAAATGAAACAAAATGAAAAACTAGAGCAAAACAATAATAAAGTCTAGTTTACATGACATAATCACTGCTGAATTTATTCTACCTACCAAGGTCAGCAACTGTGGAAGTTTTTACAAAGCTAGATCTATAAAATTATTTGGTTCTTTATACTCCAGCTGTTCTGTGGCTCTCAAATGGTCCCTGCCATCACAGCATGCTCAAGTGAAATGCTCCCGAGGCACTGTGCCAACTGAAAACCTCTTCCCCAGTTTGATTGTTAGCATTATATTAGAACTAAATCTTGGACTAAGCAAATGTGTATGTGTGGGGGGAGGGGATTTCATGAACATTCTTTTTCATCAGGGGAAGATCGAAATGGGGGGAAATGTTAAGATACACCCCGCAAAAATGCAATCCCCATGACAGGTGTCTCCCAGCACCAATTCTCCACAAAGAAACACAGCCTAGCACTATTTGGATGACAGTGGCACTCAGGTGACAGCAGTCCCACAAAAAGGAAATTCTTCATTATCTTGATCAGCTGTTACACTGGTGTCATTACAAATATATCTCTCTCCCTGGAAACAGTGAGGTAGTTATTTGGGCCATTAAATTTGAATATGTGATGTTGTTGCTGAAGCAGACAAAGCTAGTTTGAAGGGAGGTCAATTCTGTACTCTGCATTGGCTTCCAGAACTGCGCCATTGGGGAGCTCTCAACTCCTCACCAACCCAGCTGATCTTGGGCGGGCATCTCCTGGGGATTCCATTGTTCTGAGTGTTGAAATAACCTGTAACTCTGCAATTTTCCTTTCTAGTCTGTTCCCGAAGTTCCTTTGCAAATAAAACAGCTGCTTTGAGGACACTCACTGAATGTCCTGGAAGGCTGAAGTGTTGTGTCCATTTATTCTTTGGCGTAGGACATAAATCTGACATCAAGAATCATAAGACTGAGAAACTGGTGACTTCAAAATAGCTGCTTTGGGTACACAGCTGGGCAAAGAAGAAGGAATGACAGATCTATTTCTGCCAATTCTGCCTTTTCAAAGACATTTGGGTCTGAAGTGTAGTAGGTTAAACGCATAAAGAAACCACTGAGACTGATGTAGGGATCAGCATGGTTTACTGGTACACAACAAAGACAAAGACTAACGGCCGGCTGGCCAACTATATACACACCTGGGGACACACCCCTATGTTCCGTTGGTGGGTTTAAATCTCCCGCCACGGTCCCATTGGTTCCCCCAGTGGGGAGACTAGGAACCTAGTCCCCATTGTTCTTCCAGAGTCAAGCTCTGGGGTATTCGCTGGCCCCTGGGGGCGGTCAGCGGACACAACAGGGTCCAACCTATCTTTTTCTTTTACAACAAGCATTAACAACACTATTCCACAAAATGACTGTCAGTTCATCCCTCAACAAATACAAAGCCCTACTTGGTGTAGTGATTAAGTGTATGGTCTCTAATCCGGGAGAACTGGGTTTGATTCCCCACTCCTCCACTTGCAGCTGCTGGATGACCTTGGGCAAGCCATAGTTCTGTCATTCTTGAAAGAGCAGTTCTCGAAAGAGCTCTCTCAGCCCCACCTACCTCACAGAGTGTCTGTTGTGGGGAAGGGAAGGAGTCTGTAAGCTGCTCTCAGACTCTGAGTGAAGGGCAGGGTATAAATCCAGTCTCTTCTTCTACTACATTTAACTGTATGAAATGATTCTCTTGAATATGCTCTAATCTCAGGGCACTCCCACTAAGTATGGGGTTCAATCCTCTTTTTTCCAGTTGTCAGTCATGCTGCTAGTATCTTGCTGCCAATAAAACACTTCTGTGCCTTTGAAAAGTAAAAAATTACTACTTTGCATATCAACACTTTGGTTGTCACCAGGAAATAAATCAGGCCAACTGACATAATTTCCATGTGACACACGGAATGAAAGAAAAATGGATGCATTACCTGGACCATTCTATGTCCAACACCAAACTGTACAAGCTTCCTTACCTTTGGAGTTTATTACACCAGCTGCAGTTGAAACCAATCTGGGACATAACACAGGGACCACAGCTGTCAAACTGGAGACAGGCTGGAATGGAGGGGGGAAATACAGAGAAATCAGTTATCTTACAAAAATCTGTATTTGTTAGACATGCTTTCATCCTTCCCCTCTAAGCAAATTGATTTCAGAATGACTTATCAGGCTAAATACATATTTATGGAGATGCTACCAGACTCAGGACCAGACCCTCCATTGCCGCCATGAGAGACACAGCTCCTGGTGACCCCACCCTCACCCAGAGACAGCCTGGTAGCCTCCTGGGCAAGAACATATGGACCTTACCTGGCACCACAACTCCAGCACAGGTGGAAGAGCCAGCTGGGCCTGGCATTGGAGTGACCCAGAGAGGATGGCAGCCTTCACAACCAGGGCAGGAGCCAGGGGAGGGCCAGAGAGGCCTGCACAAGGGCAAGTAAGCCCAATAGCAGTGCAGGTTTCTGGGCCTGGGCTTGAGAGAGCCAGGGAAAAGGAGGGGAGTGGACTGAAGACTGGCAGCCTACCCTAAGCCCCTGGCACAGCCAATAGGGCTGCAGGGAGGGCAGCTGGGAGGACGAGCCACCCAGCAGTCCTGTAGGAGGGACAAAGGAGGGCTGAATCACCATCCTCCCTCAGAAAAAGGCTGGGTACACCCAGGGAAGTGGAGGGGCTATTTGGACCTTTAAAAGCAGGTTCCAGGAAAAGGCCAAGGAGAAGAGGAGGGTGCAGCTGTGGTGTGGCAACAGCTGTGGTCCTGGGGAAAGGAGAAGGAATAAGGTGGTACAACCCCCTTCTCTTCTCCATTCTAAGGCCTGGTGACACCTGCCAAAGACATCCAGCAAGACAGCTGATGGCAAACACCCATGCTGGAGATGGGGGAGTTTTTAGATTACTATCTAAAAACAACAAGAGTAATAAAAGCAGCATCAAACAATAAAAATATTTTTTTAAATTCTGACCAACAGGAGAAGTAAACAAATCTAAGATGACAAGTAACACCAAGCAATCCCAAATTTAAAAGATTTAAACCAATAATCAACACTAGGAACCAATAAATAGCGATGTCCTCATTCATACTTCCTACAATCAATAGTTTCTTGAATTTATTTTGTTTTTCAAAACATGTTAGAGAAAGCAATAGGCTACTTGCACTACGAAAATAAACATGCATATTAAAAGATTGATCTTTTGGATCCAATTTTAATCCTATTTGTAAATGTAATACTATTTTCACAAATCTTCACTTACAGTAAGGCTCCTAAAATCTGCCTTCTGTCATGAAAGCATTCAATTTTTCTCTTTATGTCTTTTCTTTTCGGGTTCTTACATTTCACAGCTTATAGCTAACATTTTGTTACATGAATGTAATAAACTCAAGTAGTAACCTATGTAAGAGGTATAACTGGATTACAGAAAGAATGGTTTTTGATTCGTTACTCATGATGGTGTATGTGGCAATTTACCATCTGAGGTATCTGCTCAAAAGCATTACATCTGCCTCAGACAAAAAGAGAGGTGGATGAGATACAAAACAATCAGTTGTTGCTATTTCTTCATTACAATCTATGCTGGGCAAAATATTTTTGAAATATAAGCATGCAAAGAAAGCCTGTTATTGCAAGAATCAGGTTTACAGAATATTTATGCTCGCTAGGCTCTGTACACATACATATGCCGCTGCCAGAAAGCTTATGCTTTATGAATATGGCTATTCATGGTATAATTGATAAAGCAGCTGAGTATGCCTGCACTAATGTCCCAACACGGTCCAGAAATTCCTCAGATTTTCTTTTGCTTTTTTTGTACCTTGATGTCTTTTCCAGTGGTTTTATTACTGTTTTCTCTGAAATGTCCCATGGCTGTATTTTTGAGCTGGGCATCATACAACATTCCCCTCCAGAAAACTGTGTACATTCACACAACACACATGCCGATAACTTCTGACTTGTGGCAGTTTTGACTTGGTCATTTGCAGCCTCCAGTGTGGGGTGATGCCCACTGGGGGTAAGCCAGAGTTGTATGGATCAGACAAAAGTAGGCGCAAAGTACATGGCTGTGTCTGGCAATCTAAGGGGCCTTAGACAGTAAGAGAATATGCCCTTCAAAGCATTATTATTACTAGCAAGTAAGAGAGACCAGCATCTGTGTGTGTGTGGTGGGGGACAGGAAGTAGCTTAGGAAGAGCAGATAGTAGGAGCACAGGCAAATCAAGGCACCATTATTGCCCCCCCCCACGCCACTGCTTTTGCCCCTGCTCACTTAAAATTACTTTGGAAAGCTGCATGTCCTACAGGCTTCCTGAAATCTTTTCTTCAGTTACCATTTTGATTGCCTTGGTAAATGGCTACCAGAAATGATGGCTGAGCTCTTACATGACGACAGAATTTTGCCAGAGATCAGGAACTGGCATGAGCAGCCTGCCTTTCCATGCTGCTTGTAAAGGAACCCAGAGGGGCAAGGAAATAAAGTGGCATTATTTACTTCGGTGTGGGGTGGGGTAGCATGCAGGTGAGCAGCTGGTTGGCTGACATCAGTATGCAGAACAGGAAGTTGCTGTCCCCCAAAATGCGATGCCTAAGGTAACTGCCTCAGGTCTCTCATGATAGGACTGGCACTGATGAGGAGGAAGGATTGGCTTGTCATGGCTATCATTCTAAGGAAGACCGCTTGCTTTACTATCTGGCACAGTCAACCTGAGACTTGTATACTAATGCTGGTGAACAGGAACTGTTTCAAGGGCCTGCAATCAAGCCATAGAGCACTCTGATTACCTAGCAGGGCTCTGGGAACTCATTAGTATAAGTCAATGCGAAGTCTAGGGAAGCAGGTGGAGCAGTTCCTTGAATTTACTGATTTATTTGCTAGATTTATAGTCCACCTTTGTGACAGAGAACTGGGGGGGGGGGTGTCCTCCAGCTGCTTGTTCAGGTAAACTGGATGGGTGGTACTGTAACATTCCCAACCAGCTCCTCTTGAGGCCTGGGTTGCTAGTTCTCAAGGTAATGCCTGTACAGCTGAATGTTTCGGTTCAATATGAGGATCTATGTTGTGGTCCAAATATAGTATTATCCATTCTACTGTGTCAATGTATGACTTGCTGGATAGAGCTATGATATCGAGATTTGAAAATTTCTGATCAGGAATTTATTACACCTGATTCCTGCCCTTTCAACATGGAGCTTGAATAATATAGATGGGGTCATTCTTACAGAGACCCTGTGAGATATGCCAATCCTGTGAGGTGTGATTGGCCAAAGAATATTTAGGACCCTTCAGAGCTGATTGGGGATTTTAATTCCCCTTTGCCTGCTCTAAAATTAGTGTTTTATCCATCAAAACACAGTGTGCAATATAAGAAAACAAAATTAGATCCCTATGATGTATACAAGAGGAAGTGGTATACAAGAGCAAATCTATACAATTAATCTATAGGTCCCAAAAGGCCAAGACAAAATAACCAGATTACGTTACTGGGCTATGAGAATTATATGAAGGTACAGTTTTCTGGGATAGGCTTTTTTGTTTAAGAATAAATAACTATGAATAAAAACTTTTTTGTGGAGAAATAACCAGATGAAGATACTAACTAATACTAACTAAGATACGGGTCATTGTGAGATATATGCACAACCAAGCATAATATACCCTGCAAGAAGATTATGCCTGCTTAATGTGGAAATAACCTTTGTATTAAAAAATAATAGTTAGGATAGGAACGTGGTATGGATTGTGCTTGTGTGTGCTTATGGGGCTTTACTTACTGGGCAGAGGAATCATCTCAACAGCTGACAGATTGGTGACCTTTGACATCTGAAGTTCCACTCGGTGATACTCGTATATTGTCCTTCTACGAACATCTTCCAGGAAAGAAAGAAATAATGAAAGAAAATTCAGTTCCATTGTTCACAGTGGAATTCACTCTCAAATATTTCTTATTGTACAAAACTATTGCCACTGTCCCTGAAACTCAAGACAGAATTAAATTCACTGAAAAGGAGAAACTTTTGTAGGTGTTTCCTGGTAATCCATCCATCAGTGAACCCACTATTTAAATATTGATTGTACTCTCAAACAATTTATTCAGAGTGATTCTTTTATAAAAACACAGTAGCTGGTGCTGCAGTTTAAATGGGGAGACCAAAGCAGGGAGAGAGGGGCTTTTTAACCCTTTCCCCAGGCAAATTTCCTGCTAAAAACTCTCACTCCCAACTATATTTATCCCACTTGAAAAAAATTTGTATGTACCCTGAAGTTTTACAGCATCCTGTGGTTGTAGGAGCACTTTTCAGTAAAAGAACAGGCCAAAGACAAAGGATAAAAAACTACCCTCCGCTGCTATAAATCTTCCCGTTTAAATTGTAGCTTTGGAGGCCTCATTCTGTTAAACAGGAAAAAAGTCCATAAAAAAGGATCCCAGAACTATGGTTGACCACCTAAGGTTATGAACATTGAAAATGGCCTTGAACAAATGTCTCTAAAAATCCTGACACTAATAAAACTATACAAGAGGGGAATCTGTGAGGACTAATGGGAGAGGGGATATTGCATTCACCTCTACCAAACCCCAGTTCCGCTCCTTGGCTTTGGCTCCCTTTTCACCCTTGCACCCACCACTCACTCTTTTCCTTCCTTTAACCCCACTGACTTACATAAGAACATAAGACGAGCCCTGCTGGATCAGACCAGTACTCCATCTAGTCTAGCATTCTGTCTCATACAGTGACCAGAAAATTCATCTGGATGGCCAACTACAGGGCATAGTGGTGGTGGGGGGAACACATGGCTATTAGATATATAGATAATGTCATCCTATTTTATTACTCAGTTCTGCTAATTGTCTCCCTGCTTTTGTAGAGCAATCATTTCTTTAATATAAGATAATTAAATACATAAATGAAAGCATAATGCTGTTGTGCAGTCCAGTCCTATATTTGCTGACTTACTTGTAAGTCTCATTGATATCAATGGGACTTTTTCCTCAGTAAATTTAGATAGCACTACTGCCTTAATATTGATAGAAATTGATACAAAACCTGCCTCAATTGAATGTATATTGCAAAACTATTAATGGATTCCTTTGAAAGATTTTTGCTTATGCTATATGGAAAGCCCACCACTTGAAAAGGGGGAAAAATCTGTGATGAACTATCTATTCTTGCTTTCCTATTTATTATTTTATTATTCTGATCATGTTCAGTGTTGTAGATATTAATCTGATGGCTACAAGACAGGCTTGTAGCTTTGCAGTATATCACTGAGAAACCGTGATGACCTATTACTTTGAGTTTCCAGGTTCTTGCATACTTCCATTGAATGCAGGTAGATTTATGTGCAAAGATGGAGGAGGTACAGTTTTGGTGGCAGGCCAGGAATGAAAGCTCCTTGACTAGATTAATAGTTGATCACAATGTGGGAGGTGGAGGAGAGGAAATGTTAGAGATGCCATACAACTCCAAACGACAGCTACAGGAGGAGAAGACAGCAGTTTTTGGATTATGGATTACCAGACCTCACACAGAGAAGCCCAGTTTTACAGTGTAGAATGGATAATACACATGTAGGTAGCCAATTGAAAAGATGACTGGGTGTCTCCTAACTTGGGAGCCAAACCGTAATTTCACAATTTGTAAGGCCAAATTAAATCCAGCCAAAAACATTACTCCATTCCACAATGGAGAAAGAAATGGGCAAAACAGAGACCCACTCAGCCGCAGAGGGATTTTGGCCAAATGATAATGCCTTACCAATATCCATAAAAGTGTGTGGTAAGCAGAAACCTTATAACTGTTCATAACCCTAAATAGTGCACACCTTCCATTCAGGAAGATCTCTTTTTCCTCTCATCCCTATCCATTTTTCTCCCACAACACAAGAATCTGGAATAAGAAGCTACAAAAAATTAGTTCTGGGGTCTTTTAATATTACTCAACCCATACTACATTTATCTCACCTTTCCACTCAGGATGGCATACACAGTTCGGTTATCTTTTTCTCTTTCACTGTATCCTTACAACAACCCTAGGTGGTTTACTGGACTGTGACTGATCATACAGTATACTTTATGACCATTTGAACTCACATCTTCATATGCCTATTAAGCACTCTGGCTACTGTGCTCACACAGGGGAACTGCTTTTCCATGAATAGCAACATTTAACTGGCCCAACCATATGCGCAGGAGCCAATCATGTGGTATTGTAAATCCAAATCCCTTTATTGGTATAAAAGAAAAGCAAAATACCACAAGGCAAGTTTACAGAGAATGTGAATTATAAAATCATCCAAACATCAGATAGAAGAGCTAATCTTTTGCTCCTTGATTATTATGGCAGCCAAAAGGTACCTTGCAACTCAACTTGTAATATGGAGACATCGGTCAGATAATAAGAAGGATACTACACCTCAGGAAAACTGTGACAGTTAGACACAATCAGTTTAATTATACAATCCTGCACTTCCCCATAAAATTCACAATGAAGTAAAACAAGGGATACTTAACACAATTAGGGACCCCTAAAACACGGTGTAAAAACATTGCCTGGATTTGCTCAAGCTGGGTATTGAAAGCACTAACCCAGATGAAGATCCCGTATAATAACTGAGAAACTGTTTTGGCATTAAAAACACGAATGGCAGCAGGGACAAATTGATTGCTCTTCTTGTAAAAAAAGCTAACCACTGCAGACTAACTGCAGCTTGCTGAAATTACTGCTTGCGTTGTTCTGTCCAGTTATGGTTATATTGAAAAAAGACCCCCAAATATTTTAAAATTTTCACTTGTTCAATATTATTATTTTGTTGTTGGGTTCCACACAACTGGTCCCTGCCCATCCTCTGAGTCATTTCTATTACCCTAACTGCATCAGAACTGTTCACAGTAAAGCAGTATAATAATATATAAAATGTATATAGCTCAGTTGATTAAGTAGAATTTAGAGAAAACAAGTTTCAGTGGGAATGTCAGCCCATATGTCTAAAATTATACCATGAGTGTAACATCAAATGTATCTGCTGCACTTGGGTCAAATTATCCCTATATCAGGAGTCCCCAACCTTTTTGAGTCTGTGGGCACCTTAGGAATTCTGGCACAGCGTGGAGGGAGTACAACCACAAAAGGGCTGCTACAGGAGTAGAGCCAACTACAGAAAGGCTATGTATAACTCTATTAATATCTTTTCAAAAATTCAGGCAGAAGATTTGTTTAACAGGATGCCTTTTAAATAGGAATGGGCATGAAGCGGCATATCACAACTCATGCCACTTCATGCGTTGTGAACAGCCGCTTTGGGCAATTGCTTTGTTGATGAAGCAGTCCACAACCTGCTATGTTTTGCTATGGTGAGTTGTGGCGCTTCATTGGGCCAGACAGCCTGGCATCAATCAATCAACTCCCCAGGCAACAGGGAGGAGCTTACTTCTAGGTTGGGCCAACTGACCAGAAGCGAGCTCTGAAGGCATGTAAATGCCTTCCCCACCCTCCCCACCAGTGGGCTCATGGTCCAGTATCTTTGCCAAGAAAACCCCATGGACAGTAACAAAAGGCTACAAGATATGACGGCGGAAGATGAGCCCCTCAGGTCAAAAGGTGTCCAATATGCTACTGGGAAAGAGCAGAGGGCAAGTACAAGTAACCCCAGAAAGAATGAAGCGGCTGGGCCAAGGCCGAAAGGACGCTCAGCTGTGGATATGTCTGATGCTGAAAGGAAAGTCCGATGCTGCTTAGAACAATACTTCATAGTAACCTGGAATGTAAGATCTATGAATCAAGGTAAGCTTGACGTGGTCAAAAATGAGATGGCAAGACTGAACATTGACATCTTGGGAATCAGTGACCTAAAGTGGACAGGAATGGGCAAATTTAACTCAGAAGACCATTATATCTACTACTATGGCCAAGAATCCTGTAGAAAAAATGGTGTGGCCTTTATAGTCAGATATTGCTGTGTATGTTCATCAAATTTTCAATTTTCCAAGTTGTATTTTGTTTTTCAGATACATCAAACAACTCAATAAGAACAAAGTCTTCAGAAGAGACGGACCTTCCCGGGTCCAAGGCAAACCATTCAACATCACAGTAATCCAAGTCTATGCCCCAACCACTGATGCAGAAGAGGCTGAAGTGGACCGGTTCTATGAAGACCTACAACACCTCCTAGAACTAACACCAAAAAATGATGTCCTCATCATCATAGGGGACTGGAATGCTAAAGTAGGAAGTGAAAAGGTAACTGGAATAACAGACAAGTTTGGCCTTGGAAAGCAAAATGAAGCAGGGCAAAGGTTAACAGAGTTTTGTCAAGAGAACACACTGGTCATAGCGAACACCCTTTTCCAACAACCTAAGAGGCGACTCTACACATGGACATCACCAGATGGGCAACACCGAAATCAGATTGACTATATAATTTGCAGTCAAAGATGGAGAAGCTCTATCCAGTCAGTAAAAACAAGACCTGGAGCTGACTGTGGTTCAGATCATGAGCTACTCATTGCAAAATTCAGACTTAAACTGAAGAAAATTGGGAAAACCACGAGGCCATTCAGGTTTGACCTAGATCGCATCCCTGATGAATATACAGTAGAGGTGAAGAATAGATTCAAGGGTCTGGATTTGATAGATAGAGTGCCTGAAGAACTATGGACGGAGGTTCGTGACATTGTACAGGAGGCAGCAATCACCACCATCCCAAAGAAAAAGAAATGTAAGAAAGCAAAGTGGCTTTCTGATGAGGCTTTACAAATAGCAGAGGAAAGAAGGAAAGCGAAAGGCAAAGGCGAAAAGGAAAGATTTACCCAACTGAATGCAGATTTCCAGAGAACAGCAAGGAGAGATAAGGAGGCCTTCCTGAATGAACG